GTCTATATTCTTGGAACATCGCAGAATCAGTCACGTACGAATGATCAGTACCTTCTGCGTTGGATCAGTCTGGTTGTCTTCCCCCATGTCCCCTTGAAATTGTTCGCCCACCTGCTATCCAGGATGTTCGCGGCTCCTCCGCGCGGTCGGCGAGAGAAACAATCGTGGCCTACCCGGGACTCGGAGCTCCTCGTGAACCGCCGCGGCTACTGCCGCCGCGCGCTCTTGAAATCCGCGAGGCGCGTAAGTCTGCAGCGCTCGATCGCGGCCTTCTCAGGCCCGACAAGGTGGACCCTGAGCCGCGCGCTGTGGCCGTCAGGTACTGGGCGGTCGCGGACTACCGTGCGCATCTCATCGGGCGCCGGTATCCCGACATCTGCATTTCCGTGGTCGACGATGTCGATGTCTTCCGATGGTGCGAGAGACCCGGCGTCGAACGCTAAGCAGTGGTTGCGAGGCTGCGCGCCCGAGTCCAGGGCGAGACTCTGGCGGATCTGATGGGGCGGGCTGCGGCTGGGCCCCCCCGAGGGTGTCGGAGCTCCCTGCAGCCTGCCGCGACGACATCATGCATGACGATCTACTGTGCTGCCGTCGGGGATGCCCACCAGGTCGAGTTGACGAGGTGCGCGTCGCTCGAGGAGCCCTCGCGGGCCCCCCCCTGGATGGCCGAGGGTTGGCCCGTCGTGGGCAGACTCGTCACGGTGCGCGCAAGCGTCGGAGGCGTCGACGCTGCCATCCCGCGCGCCCGCCACGTCAAGCTCGTCTTCCACAAAATCAAGCAGCGGCCGCCAATTTCCCGACGACAGATATTCGATGACAAAACTTGCTGCGGTCTGGCATCGGAGCTCCACAGGCCTGAGTCGACCATCTTCGATGCTCCACCACATTTCCACCTCGCGTGGGCCTAGTCTCCACCGCGCCAGGAATGACCAATCCCGGCGATCCTCGGTGACAAAGCGTTCAAGACCACGCCCCACTTGGATAGCCACGACACTGGTAAGATTGAATACGTTCCTGGCAATGTACTCGGGACCGGTGGCGACTTGGCGCCGCGAAGTGGTCGCCGTGGTGATGGTGCCAAATGTCGGCAAGGCCAGGCCGCCGTAATGTCCCTGCCGTCATGCAGAAGATATGCGGCCCTGCGATCATCCATGCTGGACCGCGCGGCGCGCACTCTGTCGGGTAACTCCGCGGGCTAGGCCCCCAAAGTCCACGAAAAGTCGTGCGTCGCCCATGCGGAATCACTGCTCGGCGCCTTGGTAGCTCACGGTCACAGCGCCGCGTTGAGCGTCCATCTTGAGGACAGCTGCTAGTCCACTCCAGCCGCTGTCGCTGGTGAATGGAGGTCGTGGAAGTCGACGCGCTCTCCTGGATTGTGGTCCAGGGTTTGCCCTGGGCATGTGGCGGGCGTCTTTGAGGCGCGGCTGATTCGTGAGATGGCCGATGCCGCGGCGACCCGCTGTAATGCTATCTCTCGTAGGAAGTGAGATGCGAGAAACGCTGGCCGCGTCGCCATGGCGGCGCCAACTTATCCAACGACAGCCTCGGCGCTCGGCCAAACCGCGCGCCGTTAGGAGCGGCGCCCCCGCGCGACATCAGCGAGCTGCCCAGGCAGACTGCCTCAGAGAAGAGGGCAGGCACGGTGACCTGTGAGCCTTAGCGCCTAAGCTTTCATCAGCGCAATGCATGGCGTGTCGGAGGGTCTCGCCGCGTCGCTCAATCATTCGTGCACGCTGGTCTGGGGCTTGCAATCGGACTGCAGCGTCATTCCGATCGAATAACGGCTTAGCTCGAGATCCTTGAAAACCTCGTTCACCGTCCACGACCAATTCTTTGTTGAACGGTCTGGAGGCGGATCCAACATGTAGGGATGGCTGAGCGCAGGCGCTCGGTAAATCGATGTCCATCATCGCTGGCATCTCCCTCGAGCAGCGCCGCGCAGCGCGCCGCCCGTCGGCCCTGTCTACTATGTGCCAGATTGGGCACTGGCGGAAGAAAGGAATGTCCCCCCCCCCACTCTTGCTCGGGAGCCGTGACCAGCTGATCAACCGATGGTGTTACCTGTGGCGCGCTGAAGGGCCGCGCGCCTGGCACGCCCGCGATGACTTGGATGACTCAGTGCAGGCAAATGATGCGATATATACGTTCGATGTGTGTCCGTGTAGCGTGCCACCAGCGGATATGTAGTGCACGTATCTCATCGCTTATGTGATACATCGCCTATGCGCAGTTAACGCGCGTGAGCTTTACGAGACGTCGAAGCTCGTCCAGTCCCCTGGCGCGTGTCCGGCGGCAGCGTCTACGACTCGCGATTGTGGTCGAGGTGGCCTGGGGGGCCTCAGATCTACGGGGTCTGGCGGCGGCGGCGGCTCGTCGCAACGCATGGGAAGATCACCGCGCATCGGTGCCGGCGGTGCTGGGTCGTCGCCAGGGCCCAGACGCGGAGGGGCCCCGTCGATGTCAGGACTCACCTGGGATCCAGGGGCGCCTGCCGCAGGATCGCGAGCTTCTTGCGCTCGAGCCGCGCAGGGGCAAGGCCCCGCGCTGACTGGTGCGGCGCTTGAGCTGCTCTGACATGTTCGTCGAAACAGCGGCATTACCCTGGGCGCGCCGCGCGAACAGGGCAGGCTCGATCGCGCGGCGGGTCACGGACGCAGCCCGGGCAAGAGCGCGGTGACTCGATGCCCAGTGGGGCTGCGCATGTTCCCGGGACATTGATGCGTCGCGGGTCCAAGCTGTTGCGATTGCCGCGGCAACCTGGGCATTCTGGACATCGTTTCGCGTTCGGTTCGCTGGAAGGACTCAAACAGGGGCCTGGGTGCCAGGCGCCCCAAGTCGGGGCGCCCGATGGCATCGGCTGAGCCCGAGATTTGCCTGTCGGTGTCGGCGCGGCCGCTGGCGCCGGTGGCGGCGGCGCCTCTGCTCCTTCCAGGCGCCCGAGCTCTCGGGGAGTATCTGGGCTGACTCGCGAACTTGCAGCTGGGCAGAGCTCGGCCAGCCAGAGTGGCCGAGCTATCTACCGAAGTCCTAAAAAAGACAACGCCTTGAGCCAGAACTGTCGCATCTTGGCGCGTTGACAGTGGCCCCAATCGACGTCGTGGTCGCGGCTGCCTGCGCGCCGTCGACGAGTGGATTTTGCGTTGGCGATGTCAAGAGAAGGATTCCTGGCTGGGAGGCATCGCGGGCGCGTGGGTCCCAGCCGACGCCGGTCGAACACCGCCGCGTCCGCGCGCGGGCGTCGCGGTGTAATTCCAGGGCGGCGCGGCATCGAACCGAACAAGGGTCGGCTGCTCGACGAAGAAATACATGTCCTCTCATGGGCAATCGCCACCTGGCCGCACGAAGCGACGCGGGAGAGCCCGCCTCGCAATGCGTCCTTGATGTCTCGTGATTGACGTGGTTGTTGGGGCCGCTGGGGCGTCCAGCACTGCGGCGCGACGGCGCCGTGACCACCGCCGGAACGTTGTCGGACCTGAGGTGCCTGAGGGAACGTCGTCGTTCGCGCGGGTCGCTCAGGTCGCACCCGGTCGCCGAGTCATTGTTCTCGCCTGCCGTGGGTTGACGGCGCGCGCGGCGATTTGCGAGGCGCGGGCTTCGCCTCCGCACAGATCAAAGATCCACCCCTTGTCCCCGCGTGGAAGCCATAGCGATGGCTCGCTCTCATGCGCGGTGGCCCGGCAGACCGAGATGGGACGCGCGGCTAGGAGATCGACCGCGGCCCCGGCCGCGAGGGCATCGGTAAAAAACCCATCTTCCGAGAGCGCGCCTGCCTGCGCAAGACGCGCGTCCGGTGCCAGCTCTGCCAATTCTTCCGCTGGTTTCCAATCCCGATAGATCGTCGCCGCTGTCTTGGAAGGTGTCCCCAGCGATCTTCCGGCGCCCATTGCGCGCGCGACGTTTCTCGAACGGCTTCGCGTCGGTGAGACAACTGCCTGCTGGGCCAGCGCGCGCGACTCGCGTGGGCGCCAGGCCTGCGGCTGGAATCGGGAAATTCGTTCGCGCTGGCGCGAAGAGGTCGGTTCGGGGCAACGCGTGAAATCGGGCCACGGTGCCCCCGCCAGGCTGTGAAATCCAAGTCGGTAGTTGGCGTCGTGCTCGCACTGGTGGTAGTCCCTCCAACCTATCTATGCTGGTTCGTCACGATGTTCTTCATATCCGTAATGCTATTGGCACTGCTGTTCGTGATCTCAGTGCTATTCGAATCGGGATTGTCGGGCTGACGAACAGTCCGGGACATGGGATGCCCAGCGCCCGCACACAGCAGCTGAGTTGTCCGACGTTCTGAAGCAGTATCACGATCCAAACAAGGCCATATTTGCACAGCGACTTAGCTGAGAAATCCCAAGAAGTGGGCAGAGATAAGAGCGTTAGAACGCATCGTACAAGTAGTCCAACCATGTTGCTCAAGAGCTCGTGCCATTCTGGGCACAGGCTTAATCACGCAAGCAGGCTTCGTGCACGATGGGCCCCCGGCGAAGAGTGCTGGGGCGGCCCGCAAGGGGCCGCCACCACATTGCGAGCCGAGGGCGGGCCGCTGCTTAGCCTCCGCACGCGAAGCAGCAGATGCTGACGGCGCAGTGTCCTCTACCCACGTCTCTGTCTCGTCGGTGCCATCGCGCAGTTACGCCGAACGGTCTGGAGACCCGCCGCTCGATTGCGCAGCTCTCGAAGGCGTCGATGACCATGACGAGGTCCTCTCGGTGCCTCTTCCAGAGGGAGAGGCTGCGGACTGTGCCTGCTGGCCACTGGACCTGCACGTCGCCGCCCCCTGGGTGAAGCAAATCGTGTTTGCCCATGCCCGGGATTGCGCGCATAGACTCCATGCTCCGTAGATCCACTAGTCCGGGTAGCTCGCGGCCTGAACATTACGCGATGGGTGCCGCGGACCTCCTCCTCCTCCTCCTCCTCCTCCTCCTCCTCCTCCTCCCTCTTCCTCACCCTCCTCCTGGCCCCCTCGTCGTGGACCTCGAGCTGCATGCGCCCCCCTCTGCCGCCCGCTCCTGCAGCGCGTCCAGCGCCTCCGGCGCGAAGCCGCCCGCGCGCGTGCCGTTGATAGGCAGCACGTGCCCGCCCCTGCCGGACGCCCCTGCCGCTGCTGCTGCTGCTGCTGATGATGATGCGGCTGCCGCTGCTCCTCGAGGCTGCTCCTCCACTTCCTCTGTCCTCCTCCGTCCTCCTCCGCCCTCTTTTTTCCCTCTTTTTCCTCTTTTTCATCCTCCTCATCCTCCTCCTCCTCCTCCTCATCCTCCTCCTCCTCCTCCTCCTCTTCCTCATCCTGTTCCTCCTCCTCCTCCTGCTCGTCCTCGTCCTCGTCGTCGTCAGCGTCGTCGTCATCCTCCTCCTCCTCCTCCTCGTCCTCCTCCTCCTCCTCCTCCTCCTACTCCTCCCGCCCTCCTCATGCTCCTCATGCTCCTCCTCCTTCTCCTCCACCTCATCATCATCACCATCACCATCACCATCATCAGCAGCAGCATCAGCATCATCCTCATCATCCTAATCATCATCATAAGCATCAGCGGCAGCAGCAACATCATCAACATCATCAGCATCAGCATCATCACCACCATCCATCACCATCACCATCACCAACTCCATCTTCATCTCCATCACTATCACACTCACCACCACCACCACCACCACTATCATCATCACCATCATCATCGTCGTCATTATCCTCATCATCACCATCACCATCACCATCACCACTATCATTATCATCATCAACAACAACAGCAGCATCAGCATCAGCATCAGCATCATCATCGTCGTCATCATCAGCAGCATCAGCAGCATCACCGCCACCACCACCACCACCACCACCACCATCATCATCATCATCATCATCATCATCATCATCATCATCATCATCATCATCATCATCTCATCATCCTCATCCTCATCCTCATCATCATCATCATCATCATCATCATCATCATCATCATCATCATCACCATCACCATCACCATCACCATCACCACCACAATCGTCATCATCATCATCATCCTCATCATCATCCTCTTCCTCGTCATCATCATCATAATCATCATCATCATCAGCATCATCATGATCAGCAGCATGAACATCATCGTCCTGATAGCCCTCCTCCTCCTCCTCCTCCTCCTCCTCCTCCCCCTTCTCCTCATGTGGGGAGACGATCGAGAATCGAGGAGGACCTAAGCTCTTGAACATGTCTGGCCTTTACGTAGGCCCCCGAAAAGCTCTGGAAGCCTCCCAATGCCTCCAGAATCGCCGTCACCGTCATCGCCGTCGTGGCCTCGTCGCGTCCGTCGTCGCTGCCCGCTATCCCCCTCCAGGTCCTCCTCGCGCTCTTGCTTGAGGCGCTCCTGCTGACACTCCTCTTGCTCTTGCTGGTTCCTCCTTCTCCTCTTGCTCCTCCTCACGCTCCGAATCGTTATCCTCCTTTTCCTCCTCCTCACAGTCCTCCCTCTCCTGTCCACTCCTGCCGACAATCCTCCACCATCCATCCCCTCCTTCTCCTCCTGCCGCTCGTCGTCCTCATCCTCCTCCTCCTTCTCCTCCTCCCTCACCGTCGCCAGCTCTAGCTTCAGCATCAGCATCAGCATTATAACCACCACCACCACCATCACCATCAGCATCATCATCATCATCATCATCAACATCATCATCCGCATCATCCGCATCATCATCCTGATCCTGATCCTGATCCTGATCCTCATCCCCCTCTCCCGTATCATCAACATCATCATCATCCTCATTCATCCTCATCCTCATTCATCCTCATCCTCATTCATCCTCATCCTCATCCTCGCTCTGATCCTCATTATGATCCCGATCCTGATCATGATCCTGAACCCCATCCTCATCAGCAGCATCCCATCATCATCACCATCAGCATCCTCATCAACATCAACATCATCATCACCACCATCAGCAGTAGTATCAGCATCAGCAGCATCAGCATCATCACCATCATGATGGTAATCGTCATCATCATCATCATCATCATCATCATCATCATCAGCATCATCATCGCCATAATCATCAGCAGCATCATCCTCATCATCATCATCACGACCACCATCATGGTCCTGCAGCTACCTATCCCACCCTCTCCTCTTTCAAATCCTCCTTCTCCCCGTCCTCGTTCTCATGTCCTCCTCATCCGCATCATCATCATCATCAGCATCATCATCAGCATTCGCATCAGCATCAGCGCAGCGTCAGAGGCATGAGCATGAGCATGAGCATCGGAAATAGCACCTGCATCAGCACCAGCACCAGCATCCGCACCCTCATCATCATCACCACCACCCGTTCATCATCACCATCATCGTCGTCAGCATCATCACCTCTACCACCACCATCATCATCATCATCATCATCATCATCATCATCATCATCATCAGTATCATCATCATCATCATCATCATCAGCATCAGCATCAGCATCATCATCGTCCTCGTCCTCCTCATCATCACCATCCTCATCCTCATTCTCATCCTCCTCCTCCTCATCATCATCAGCAGCATCGGCATCATCATCGTGATCATCACCATCAACCTCACCAGCAGCAACAGAGGCATCAGCATCATCAGCATCACCACGTCATCATCAACATCACCATCACCAGCATCCCGCATCAGCATCATCATCAGCGTCATCACCATCATCATCATCAACATCATCATCAGCTTCGTCAGCATCATCATCACCATCACCATCATCTTCACCATCACCATCACAATCACAATCACATTCATCATCACTATCACCACCATCAGCATCAGCACCAGCATCAGCGTCATCATGACGTGCAGCACCATCACCATCATCAGCATCAGCGTCAGCAGCAGCATCATCATCGTCAACATCATCATCATCATCATCATCATCATCATCATCATCATCATCATCATCATCATCATCATCAGCGTCGTCATCATCAGCATCATCAACACATTAACATCACCACAATCATCATTATCATCATCATCATCATCATCACCAGCACAAGCATCAGCAGTATCGTCAGCATCATCATCAGCACCACCATCACCATCACCATCACCAGCACCAGCACCAGCATCATCATCATCATCATCATCGGAAGCATCATCATCACCATCATCATCATCATCGTGAGCAGCATCACCAGCGTCAGCATCATCATTTTCACCAGCATCATCACCATCACCAGCATCAGCATCGGCAGTATCATCATCATCACCACCACCATCATCGCACGCATCGTCGGCAGCATCATCACCATCGTCATGAAAATGATCATCATCAGCATCATCATCACCTGCATCCTCATCATCGTCATCATCAGAATCACCATCACAATCAACCTCACCAGCAGCAGCAGAGGCAACATCATCATCACCAGCATCAGCATCGTCAGCAGCATCAGCATCATCACAACCACCATCACCAGCACCAGCACCGGCATCGGCAGCATCGTCAGCAGCACCATTACCATCATCAGCACCATCTTCAGCATCATCACCATCGCAAGCATCATCAGCAGCGTCATCATCAACAGCATCATCACCATCACCACCAACAGCATCAGCATCATCAGCATCATCATCACCATCACCCTCAGCATCACCAGCATCAGCATCGGCATCAGCAGCATCAGCATTAGCATCACCAGCACCATCATCACCACCATCATCACCATCACCAGCATCAGCACTATCATCAGCATCAGCATCGGTATCATCATCATCACCAGCAGCATCATCATCATCACAATCACCATCATCATCACCATGACCCTCAGTAGCCTCAGCATCAGCATCGGCATCAGCACTATCATCAACATCATCATCACCATCGCCATCAGCAGCATCAGCATCATCACCATTTCGATCACCAGCATTAGCACCATCACCATCATCGTCACCATCACCATCACCAGCATCATCATCATCATCAGCATCCCCAGCATCATCATCACCAGCTCCAGCATCATCATCATCATCAGCATCATCATCACCATCCCCAGCATCAGTATCATCATCAGCATCATCACCGTCAGCAGCATCAGCATCATCATGATCACCATCATCAGAATCATCAGCATCATCAGCATTATCACCATCATCATCAGCAGCATCACAAGCATCAGCATCCTCAGCAGCAGCATCATCATTACCATCAACATCACCACCATCTCCATCAGCATCAGCATCATCATCATCATCTTCTTCATCCTCATCATCACAATCACCATCATCAGCATCAGAGTCAGCAGCATCACTATGATCATTATCATCAGCATCATCATCACCATCACCATCAACAGCATCAGCATCAGCATCGTCATCATCAGCACCATCATCACCATCAGCAGCGTCATCATCATAATCATCACCATCAGCAGCATCAGAGTCAGCACCATCACTATGATCATCATCACCAGCATCATCATCACCATCACCATCAAAAGCATCAGCATCAGCATTAGCATCGTCACCATCACCATCACCATCATCACCCTCAGCAGCATCGACATCATCATCAGCATCATCAGCATCATCACCATCATCATTAGCATCATCAGTATCACCACCATCACCATCGCCATCACCATCACCAGATCAGCGTAAGCATCAGCAGCATCATCAGCATTATCATCAGAATCATCAGCGTCATCATCAGCATGACCATCACCATCAGCACCATCAGCACCAGCAGCATCATCATCATCACCATCACCATCACCAGCATCATCATCGGCATCATCATCACCATCACCAGAATCAGCATCATCGTCATCAACAGCATCATCATAATCAGCATCACCATCATCATCACGACCACCAGCATCAGCATCAGTACCATCATAATCAGCATCAGCAGCATCATCATCACCATCGCCAGCATCAGCATCAGTAGCAGCAGCATCATCATCATCACCATCACCAGCAACAGCATTATCATCACCATCACAAGTAAGCATAAGTAGTAGCATCAGAATCAGCAGCATAATCATCATCACCATCACCATCACCAGCATCATCATCACCATCATAAGAGAGCATAAGCATCAGCATCATCACCATCACCAGTACCACAACCACCATCAGCATCATAATCAGCAGCATCATCATCAGCATAATCATCATAGGCATACGCATTAACATCATCACCATCACCATTACCACAACCACCATCAGCATCAGCATCATCAGCATCAACAGCATCATCACCATCATACTGATAATCACCACCATCATCATCGTCATCATCATAAGCCTGATCACCAGCACCAGCAGCAGCATTACCATCATCATCATCATCAGCTTCATCATCATCACCAGCATCATCATCGCTATCATCATCAACATCACCATCACCATCACCCCCATACCATCGCCATCTGCATAAACATCAGCATCAGCATCGGCATCATGACCATCACCACCACCACCACCACAACCATCAGCAGCATCATCAACATCATCATCAGCAGCATCATCATCATCATCATCACCATGACCGTCACCATTAGCATCACCATCACCACCACCAGCATCAGCATCAGCATCGGCATCAGCATCAGAATCATCATCACCACCACCACCGCCACCCACGCGCCCTCGTCCTGCCGCCGCCGTGGCTCCTCGTCCCCTCCCCTCCTCTTCCTCCCCTCGCCCCGCCGGCGTCAGCGTTGACCCCGCACCGCTCCTCCTCGTCGTCCACATCCTGCTTCTGCTCCCAGTTGCCCCCCTTCCCCTCCTTCTGCTGCTGCTGCTGCTCCTCTTCTTCTTCCAACTCGTCGCGCCTATCCTCCTCCTGCTCCACCTGTTCCCTCCCCCTCCCTGTCAAGCACCAATTCCTTCTCCTTCTACTCCTCCTCCTGCTACTGCTGATGTTACTGCTGGTGAGGCTGCTCTCCCTTCTGGCGGTCCTGTTGTCGCCGCCACTGATGATGTTGCTCCCCCCTTCCGTCATCCCCGTCCCCTTCACAATTGAATAATACGAATACTACTCTCCTGTCTCCCCTGGTTGCGTCTGGGAAATGGCCGCCCCCCCTCCGCGTACCGGTTTTTTACAAGTAGGATTTCCGGAAACTGATGTTCGCTTTTGTTTTGTTGTCGACATGCTGCTCGCGCTGAAGCGATGGCCTCTTTTTTCGGGCTACCGCTCCTTCCGAATCGTGCTCCCGCTGCAGCGTTGGCCTCATTTCCGCGCTTCCGCTCGTTCCGAATCGTGCTCCCGCTGCAACGCTGGCATCATTATTCCCAGCGCCATGCCACGGCAAAAATATTCGGTGTCGTTTCGTTGATCTCCTGGGCCGCAGAAGCGCGTCGCCACGCCATGCTATGTCAGGCTGCGCATCCTCATTTCCGCGCTTCCGCGCTTGGTTTTGTTTTGTTTATGCTGCTCTCGCTGAAGCGCTGGCCTCATTTTCGGGCCACCGCTCGTTCCGAATCGTGTTCCTGCTGCAGCGCTGGCCTCATTTCCGCGCTTCCGCCCGTTCCGAATCGTGCTCCCGCTGCAGCGCTGGCGTCAGTACTTCCAGTGCCACGCCACGGCATGGTTTTCAGTCCTTCGACATGGGTTCCAAAATCTAAAAAATGGCCTCCCGAAGAAACCATCGGAAGTGATTACAGATTCGGTGTCGATTATTGAATGTGTTGAGCCGAAGAAGCCCCCCTCCCTCATTTAGATCTGCGCCATGGTAAGAGATGAGAGGGAGGGGTAGGACGTCAGATATGACGCGAGCGCCTAGCTTGCCCGTCACCCCTCTCCCCCTGCCCTATCCTCCTTTCCCCCTCCGTCCTCCTCCTCCTCCTTCTCCTTCTCCTCGTCGTCCTCCTCCTCCCCCCCTCCTCCTCCTCCTCCTCCTCCTCCTCCTCCTCCTCCTCCTCCTCCTCCTCCTCCTCCTCCTCCTGCTCCTACTCTTCCTCTGCCTCCTCCTCCTCCTCCTCCTCCTCCTCCCTCCTCTTCCTCCCGGGTCCCTTCTCCGCCACTTCCGCGTCCGCTTCCTTTTCCTTGTGTGCCTTGTCCTCGTCCTCCTCCCTTCCCTTCCTCCTTCTCGGCCCCTTCCTCCTATTATGTTCCTCAACCTCCTATTATACTCATCGTCCTCCATCTCGTCCCCCTCCACCTATTATCTTTCCTCGTCCCTCTCATTCTCGTCCGCCTTGTCCTCTTCCTCCTCCTCGTCCTCCTTCTCGCCCCCCTCCTCCGATTCTATTCCTCCTCGCTTCTCCTCCCGCGCATGTCCTCGATGGTGTGTTGTGGTTCTTACGATTTCCGGGTAGCAATCGTTCGGGGGGATTGGGCGTGGCTTAATGGGGGGGGGTCATAAATGGGGGGTCAGAAACGGTCCCTTTTCGTGCCCCTTTCGGGCTCCTCTGGAGCCCCAGGGGGCTCGTTTAGGTACTGTTTGGGTATCTTTTCGGACCACCCGCGACACCCCCCCATTTATGACCACCCCATTACGCGGCGCCGGGCTCCCGGGCAGAGGGATTGGGCCCCGGGTAACAATAACGCTTGGGCGGGGTGGGGCACGTCGGGGCGGGGGTGCGCTGCGATCGCCGCGGTACGCGCGCGGACGCCAATGTGGGGGGGGGGTGTCCATGAGCCCCCTTCGTACGATCGCTGCCGTTACATCGGGGGGGAGGGGGGTTCTGGCCCGCCTAACGACCGCTGCGCGCCAGATAGTAAAAACAAGATCCTCGTCCTCGTCATCCCTGCCTGGGTAGTATCGCCTCAGTATTACTGCTATCAGTACTGGCATTATGTGTGTGTGTTTATCAGTCTCGGTGATCATCTTATTATGCGTAGTGCGATTATTCTCGTTCATTCGTCCTCATCCTCATCATCATCGTCATCGTCCTCCTCGATTCCCTCCCCCTTCCCCTCCCATATCCTCCTCCTCCTCCTCCTCCTCCTCCTCCTCCTCCTCCTCCTCCTCCTTCCCGTCCTCTTCCGCGTCATTATCCCCCCTCGTCCTCGTCCTTCTGCTCCTGGACTATTTCTCCCCTGACCGCGTGGCGCTGGAGGGGGAGAGGGGAGATAATACGAGGACCGGGGTAGTGGGGCAGGACAGAACCAGCGCAGGGACCCTCTGAACAAGAAAAAGGCGTGGGTGGGAAGACGGCGTGCGGGCGGGAAGGGGACGGTGCGGAGGGGGAGCGGAATGGGACGGGGCGGTGCAGATGTGGAAGCGGGAGAGAGGAGGGGGGGAGGAACGGGGATGGGGCGATGGGCATGGGGGCCAGGGTTTTTGGGGGGTGCGGAGGACGGGAGCAGAGTTCAGATGGCGGAACAGACATCATGGCGCACGGCGCAAAGCGAGAGCCTCCCTCCCCCTCTCCCTCTCCATCCCTCCTGCATCTCCTCTCTCTACCTTCCTCCATCCCTCCGATTTCTCTCCCTCCCTCCCTCCCGCCCTCTCCCAGCCTGTAGGTCGCATGGACTTCTTGGCAATCGTGAACTTCTATCCGCGAAAGGCTTCCGTCCACATCCCCGTCGCAAGACTCGAGCAGCCTCGCGGGAAGGAAGAGGTGGGTGATACTTGGGAGGAGGAGGAGGAGGAGGAGGAGGAGGAGGAGGAGGAGGGGGGAGGAGGAGGAGGAGACCGAGGAGGGAGGTACACCAGGGGGAGGAACGATAGTGGTGATGAAGGGCGAAGATGAGGAGCAAGAAGAGAATGAGTAGCATAATGAATGGGAGGATGAGTGGGGGGGAGGAGGAAGAAGAAGAAGAGGAGGAGGAAGAAGAGGACGAGCAGGAACGAAGTGGGAAATTATGGAAAATACGAAGGAGGACAATCATCATATTTCAACAGGAGGATGAAGGAGGAGGAGGAGGAGAAAGAGGAGGAGGAGGAGGAGGGTTACCCAAGGATTACCCCAAGCCGACGCAGTCGGGAACGCCTCTGAAAAGGGGGCTCATTTAAGGGGCATGCCTTCTGAGAGCCGCTGGAGGACCCACTGACCCATCTTAGTGGGGGGCTCACCACGCACACGCTTACACTCCTTCCCGAGGTCACTTATATGGCCTACCTTCTCCTTAGCCCTGCAGCCGCACTTCGTGCACACCCAGTACGGCTCGTAAAACGTCATCGCATGGGTCTAATGGACGACGCGGGAGCCGACAGCGACACACGAGCGGGTGGTTGGCTGGGAGGAGGAGGAGGAGGAGGATGAGGAGGACGGAGCAAGGAGAAAGGACGAGGACGAGGAGCAGAGACGGCTCCTCCCCGAGCGCGCCGCCATGGGCGAACTCGCGCTCTGCACTCGTGCAGAAGGAGCAAGAATGGGGAAACGAAAAAGCACCCATACCGCTACTCCCCAGGGCTCTCCTGGGGTGCGTTCTGACCCGAATTTCGGGGCGAACCCAGCAATGGCGACGAGGGCCTCCGAGGAAGCCCCAAAAGGACGCAACCGAGGGAAAGTTATGTTGCATCCTCGGGGGACCTTGTCTGTCCCGTCGCGGCCATGTCCGCGTCGAATCCGTGTCGAATCCACGTCGGACGCGTCGGATCCGTGTCGAATCCGTGTCGAATCCGCGTCGAATCCACGCCAAATCCGCGTCGAGTCCGCATCGAGCACGCGTCGGGCCCCCAAAAAAGACACCGATTTTTGGGACGGGCGAGGTCCCCCGAAGATGCAACAGAAGGAAGGGCAGCGGTGTCGGCATCAGTCGGTCGGACGAAGTGGTGGACGTGCGAAGCAGGGAGGTTAGATGCTCATTCTGGGGACCTTCCTGGAGCCACTCGCTCCACTCGTGCGTCGAAGCTGCGTCGCACCTGAGTCGAACCTGAGTCGAACATGAGTCGAACCTCAGTCGAACCTGAGTCGAACCTGAGTCGAACCTGAGTCGAACAGATCCATTAGGTGGCCCCCAGGAAGGTCCCCAAAACGAGCATCGAAGGGAGGCGTGGAGCGCAGGCGAAGCTCCTGCCCGCCCCCCGAAGAGGAGGCAAAGAGGGGACCACCGCGCGACCCTGAGGGGCAGGAAGGCGCCGAAGATAGACTTGAAGGGGCCCTGGGACACACAAATACATACACACACAAAGAAAAGGAACCCCCATATCTTCCAATATTTTCGGAGTTTCTGTCTTTCCCTCCCACTTCCCATAGTTTCCCATATTTTCTGGGGGATCGACGATTCATTGTGTCTGTGTGTTTTTCCCCTCCTGATAGATTGGGATCTGGGGGCCCGATGAACCCGGCGCGACTCCATTTGAGGGAAAGCTTCGTATCGCATGGTAGCAATGCTCGGCATTACCTGGCATTGCTTGGAGCGGGCGCAATAAGAATGCGAGGCACCAGGGGCGGGGAACCCAGGGAACCCGAAGAACCCAGGGAACCCGAAGAACCTAGGGAACCGGGGGAACCCAAGGAACCCGAAAAACCTGGGGATCCTAGGAACCCGGGGAACCCAAAGAACCCGGGGAACTTGCGAACCCGGGCCGGGGAACCCGAGGAATCTCCGAGGAACGGGCGAAGACAGCCATCTTCAGCCACGTAAAGAACCTTTCGGGCAAGCCTAAGTGGGGAACCAAATAAGAACCCCTCAGGCAAGCCTAACTACAGAAATACGAGGCACCGGGGGTGGGGGAACCCGGGAAACCTGGGGAACCTCCGGGCAACGGGCAACGCAACAACAAGAGGCGCTGGGGGCGGGGAACTGGGGGAATCTCCGGGTAACGACAAAAAACGGCCCCGACACCGGGAGCGGGGAACCCGAGGAATCTCCGTGGAACGGGCAAACAAGTCCCGAGACACCAACCTTTGAGCAAGTAAAAACCTCTTGGGCAACCCTACTCGCAGAAGAAGAATAACTGTCCGCACAGGGCGGCGGGGGGAAGGAGGAAGGCCTCTTAGACGGAGGCTGGTTCTTAGCAGGCGCTAGCCCTCCGCCTGTACACCCTGCGAAATGCTTTAGAAATCATGGGTTAAGAAATTCATAATATCAGAATTTGAAATCAAACCCAGAATGCCTATTCAAATGTTAGGATTTACATGGAAGCATTAAGAATAATCGAGACTCTGGCCGAAAACTTGGGTTTTCTTAAGCATCGTCTAAGGTGTAGAGAAGGCCGGCGCCTTCTAAGAAGCAGGGGTGCTTCTAAGAAGCCCTCCCCCCGCCTTCTGCCCCGAGAGGCAACGATAGGGGGGGACTGGAATAGGCGGGGGAAACGTCGACCTGGAGTCGGCGATACATCGCCGATAGATCGGCGATAGGCCGCCGATAGCGAATCCGCAGGTTCCTGGGCGGGGTGGAGATATCGGGCCCCTATCGGCGATCAGTGGGCGATTGGGGGTCGATGCGACCCCAGACCCTCGACGTCATGATTTTTTCCACGACGTGGAACCCCAGAGGTCTCGACCCATTCCCCGGGACTCGATTTTCATCCCGAGTCGTTTTTGGACGGCCCCGAGGCCCTGTTAGGGGCCGAGGGTGTCTCTTCTTAAGTGCCCTTCATGGCCCCTCCCTCCAGATGTTCCCTCCTCCTCCTCCTCCCCCTCCTCCTCCTCCTCCTCCTCCTCCTCCTCCTCCTCCTCCTCCTCCTCCTCCTCCTCCTCCTCCTCCTCACCATCTTCCTCCTCCTTCCTCGTCCTCGTCCTCGTCCTCATCCTCGTCCCCATCCTCCTCTCCTCCTCCTCCTCCTCCTCCTCCTCCTCTCCTCCTCCTCCTCCTCCTCCTCCACCTCCTCCTCCTCCTCCTCCTCCTCCTCCTCCTCCTCCTCCTCCTCCTCCTCCTCCTCCTCCTCCTCCTCCCTCCCCCTCATCATCCTTCTTCCCCCCCCCCAGTGACTATTATCTCCCCCCATCGCTGCCCCTGACCTCCTCCGAGAGTAGCGGCCGCCGCCTGTGTGCAGGGCCACGACGGCGACGACGATGCACTCCGGATGCCCCATCGAGGGGTGGGGGACGAGAGGTGACATTTGGCGGCGCGCACAAATTCGGTGGCAACTCATGGGAGCCTCCCATATCCTCTGGCCGGCTCTTGCGAATCGACGCTAATCGACGCTAAATCGACGCCAATCGACGCTAAATCGACACTAATCGACGCTTGCCGACGCAAAATTGGTGCTATCTCATCAACTCGCAGACGCTAATCGACGCTAGTCGACGCTAAAGAAGGAATTACAAGGGTGCACAAGGCTCCCATGATTTGCTGCCGAACACAAGGGGGTAGGGGAAGGGGGGGGGCTTCTTGGAAGGCGGCTCTCCCAGGTGAGCGACGAAAAAAAAGTCGAGAAGCCATGGCCCGAGAAGAGTGCGCGGCCCAGGGGTGGCCAGGAGACGCCTTGAAAGAAGCAGAGGGGGCCATGAGATCTGGGAGATATGAAAACCCCCGCCAGGATACAGTCGGGGCGCTGACCTAAGGAACCCTTAATAAGGAACGAGGCCCCTTTTCTCCAGAAGTTGAACTTCGATTTCCCTCCGGAAACCAAAGGAAAACCCAAGGCAAACTGTGAAGCAATCAAGGAACACGGAGCCCCTCCCCCAACGAAAAGGATTCCGTCTTCAGGGCCCCGACTGTATTCCCCCCCTTTAGCCATCACCCTCCTCTTGACCGCCCCCGCCAAAGGTTGGGAGGCAACGCCTGGAAGGTCTTCGCTGGAACGGTTAAGGGCGATTCGGCCGATTGCAATGTGATTTCTGAAGGGGCCCTGGGACACACAAGTAAATACACACAAATAAAAGGATTCCCCATATTTTCCCATATTTTCTGGAGTGTTGTCTTCCCCCCCACTTCCCATATTTTCCCATATTTTCTGGGGGATCGACGATTAATTGTGTCTGTGTTTTTTTTCCCAACCATCCTGTGGTGTTGGGTCCTCGTTTTGAAGAGACGGTCCCCGCGTCCTCCTCTCCTCTCCTCTCCTCTCCTCCTCTCCTCCTCTCCTCCTCTCCTCTTCACCCACCCAGTACACCGTTTCGTGGCCCCATGGGGAGCTCCGCCGAAGGCCCCAGTGCTGCCGCCCGCATGCGTCACGCACACCCAATTCGGCACACCCCTCACACGCTTCGTGGCCCCATAGGGAGCCCCACCGAAGGCCCCAGTGCTGCCGCCAGCATGCGTCACGCACACCCAATTCGGCACACCCCTCACACGTTTCGTGGCCCCATAGGGAGCCCCACCGAAAGCCCCAGTGCTGCCGCCCGCATGCGTCACGCACACCCAATTCGGCACACCCCTCACACGTTTCGTGGCCCCATAGGGAGCCCCACCGAAGGCCCCAGTGCTGCCGCCCGCATGCGTCCCGCACACCCAATTCGGCACACCCCTCACACGTTTCGTGGCCCCATAGGGAGCCCCACCGAAGGCCCCAGTGCTGCCGCCCGCATGCGTGCGTCCGCACACCCAATTCGGCACACCCCTCACACGTTTCGTGGCCCCATAGGGAGCCCCACCGAAGGCCCCAGTGCTGCCGCCCGCATGCGTCACGCACACCCAATTCGGCACACCCCTCACACGTTTCGTGGCCCCATAGGGAGCCCCACCGAAGGCCCCAGTGCTGCCGCCCG